AGGAAGGCAACTTCACAGTCCTTTTGGATGAAAGATTCTAGGTGAAAAGGATTGGCTTAAATAATAAATTTCATTTGGGGTGTGTGTTTGTGTATGTGGGTGTACACGTGTAGCTGTATGCACTGGTGATGGTTGGAAAGAGGTTAAGAAGGTATCAGAAGGGTTGGGTTACTTTCTGAGGATTTGGTGCCATCTTTATATAACTCCCTGTCCTTTGATGAAAACTAGGGCCAGTATTTTTCCTAAGGCCCTATATTCTTCTCAAGTAGATATCTCTGCAACAGAGTTTCAACACCCCTCTTTCAAGGTTTTCAAATCCGAGGAATCTGGCCAATAAAATTAAACATGGTGCTTGCAGGGGTGTCTATGGAAATTCTCATCTACTTCCATCTGTCTTTAGCTCACTGCAGAACAAAAAGAGAACACTGTTTCCTTTTCTGTTTTTTGAATATTACTTTAAAGCTGTAGTTTAATAAACCACTTGCTGGCTGCAGAGTTCGTGTAGGTGTGAACTCGCAGATCTTTGACATTAAATATATTCCAAAGAACGTGGTATGGAAAGTTTGAGAGTGGAAAGCAGATAAACATGGAGTTTAGACATGGTGCATTTTGACCTAGAATTTACTCTCAAGTAATTACACAGAATGCATACTAATAGATCATATTCTCCGCTTCCTCTTATGGCTACAAGATGCTCTTAATACTTTTATGCTTCGGAAATGATTGCAGTAATGAATTTATCTTTATCCAGTGGCAAAATGGACTTTCTCACTTGTGAAAGAATGCAACAGTGTGCAGAATTTACAAGGGAAGACACTACATAAAAGGCACATTGATCAGTCAAATAAAACTCTGGAACTCCGAAATTCACACTGAAATGGGTATTTCTGGGTGAGGAGGACCAATGACTAAATGAAAGCAACTCTATCCCCTTGTGTCTCACTTTCCCATGACATTTCTTAGTGTGATTCCTGCTGTCATGCACCGTACCAGCTTTAGAATGATACTTACTGACAGTGTTATCTCTGCTTGAATAAAACCTCTTCATCTGATGTTTTTTGGTGCAGGTGAGTAGGCTAAACTAGAGATTTAAAAGAAGAAAAAGACAGATACTACAAGAAATGAACAGTTCTAACATATAAAAGCAGAATTTTGTTCATTAAAAAATTAGTTTTCTTTATAGCTTACTGGTCCAATCCCCTTATGAAGCCCAAAGACACATGTACCCCAATGTTCACTGAAGCACTATTTACAATAGCCAGGACATGGAAGCAACCTAAATGTCCATCGACAGATGAATGGATAGAGAAGATGTAGTACATATGTACAGTGGAATATTACTCAGCCATAAAAAGAATGAAATTGGGTCATTTGTAGAGACGTGGATGGACCTAGAATCTGTCATACAGAGTGAGGTCAGAAAGAGAAAAATAAATATTCTATATTAACGCATATATGTGGAATCTAGAAAAATAGTACAGATGAACCTATTTGCAGGGCAGGAATAGAGACACAGATGCAGAGAACGGACATGTGGACACGGGGGTGGAGGTGGACGGGGGATAGGATGAATTGGGAGATTGGGACTGACATATGTGCACCGCCATGTGTAAAACAGATAGCTGGTGGGAACTTGCTGTATAGCGCAGGGAGCTCAGCTTGGTGCTCTGTGGTGACCTCGATGGATGGGATGGGGGTGGGGTGGGAGGGAGGTCCAAGAGGGAGGGGATATACATATAACTCTGCTGTACAGTAGAAACTAACACAACATTGTAAAGCAATTATACCCCAATTTAAAAGAAAAAAAAAAAGGAAAAATGATCTTGCCTTGGTTTCTGGCTTACAGCTCCCTGGCTGTCTCCAATGACCACCTAGATTTTTCAGCCTTTTTACATTCAAGAGCTCAAGCTTTCCCTTTAGTCACCTGAGATCCTTCCTTTGAATTCCTGTTTTCGATTTGAGCACATGCCTGTTTGCCAGGCAACTAATGCTGCTGAAGTCCTGTTTGCTTAGAGTGAAGCACATGGCTGTGGCAGTCAAAGACGGACAACCAGAGAGATAAAGTCTCAGGTTCAAGTTCGGGGCCAGAAACCAAAATCAAGGTAGCACCACAGAGCAGATTTTGGATCTGAAATCAGAAGAAGCAGAACAAATCAAGGGGAGTGCTTCATATGCAGTGGAGTTGTGGTTTGTGTTTTAGACCTAATTGTATATAGGTTGCATGATTTGGTTGAATGACTTTAAAAGTCACGGTTACAGCCAGAAATGACCTCACCTTTCGGGTGAAATACTGATGTCTTGCCACCTTTTCTTTATTTCAAATAAAATAAATGCTATTAATGTGACAGAGGAATAGTCACATTTATAGACAATGTACATTATAATAGCACTTAATAAATGGTTGTCTTTTACCTGCTACACCACCATAGGTTTTGCTGACAGATGGAAATAGGCTGATATTGCCTCTCTATCATGACTTGAAAACTTGATATTCTTTCCTGCAATTTGTTTTATTATAAAGGACACAGAGCCTTTATTGTATTTTGCTTAGATATTGATGTAAAAGTATTAATACACTTAGAAGACAGAAAAGACAGATATGTCCAAATCTTGAAAGACTCTGCGGATAGTAATGGGGCAGTGGACATCTAGCAGCATAGGGCCCTTCAAGTCCGTTTATGTGAATAAGGTTGAGTGTTACCTCTTTCCTTGCTGATTCAGAGTAAGGGACAGAGTGAAGGACAGTGTTGGCTTGTATAGCCACCCGCAAAGGGCTGTGGCTTTCTTGCCTGGGCAGTAAGCTTGGAGGGCCCAAGGGATTTCTTCTAGCCTCAGCCCCAGAGGTTGTGGAATGACGTTTGAGGTCCCCTGCCTTAGTGAGTAGGTAGGGACCAATATCCTGATTGATTAATAACAAGGAGCGATCACTGTAGTCAATAAAAGACAATGCAAATTTGACAAGATTTTAGGTTTTTCTGTGAAGCTCCTAGAGTCTCTCTAGCAATTTTCAGTAACACAGTACATTTTGGCTTTGGGGGTAAGGCTTGCGATGCCTTGTGTGGCTAAAGAAGCACAGCCTTTGGATGTTAAGGCAGGAAAAGCTTTGAAATCAGTAGTCTTTAGCTAATGTGAAGGAAAGTGAAGATGCTCCTAGATCTGCCTATAGTTAATTGATGTAGATAATACTGAACTGTTAAAATAGTGAAATAAATTTTTTTAGATCTAGAATTTGACTTTTCACCATATATTTCTTGGGAAATACATTCCTAGTAAAAGATTTTGTATTCAGTAGATAATTTTCCTGACACGACGAAGAGTTTTAAAAAATCCTTTTGTATAACTTTACTAGGCATCCACATTCCAGCAATTTCTGAATTGGTGTCCTCTGCTGTGAGTAACTGATGACGTGTGATTTATGGACTTGGAATAATTGCACTTCTTGGCTGTCATATACTTTGAGTAAGAAATATTACATATGTTTCCAGAAAAATGATTTAAGGGAGAAAAGAGTGAAGTGATGCCAAGTTCTGAAACTTTACTTGGAAACGGTGTTCTAACCAAATGGTACTTAAGATGCTCTAAGTTTCTGAAATGTATTTGCTAAATAATTTTTGAAAATGTAGTTCTAAACATGCCACTTTCAAGCTAAGTCAATGAAGAAAGTAGAGGGCAGCATACTGTTCTCACCTTCTCAAGCCCAAGAAATGCAGAATTTTCCATTGACACATGGTGATAAGCTGAATAAATTTCTTCGAAAATAGGAGTTATACATCTCACTTTATCTGTCAAACATAAAATATTTAATAATTTAGTGGAATCTTTGCATGAACAGATTTTGTTTTTAAACATGAAATCTCTAATGCAACTTAACTTTACTACGTGTCTGACCTACACTGTATTTTTGCTAGTTTCATTCAGTCCTTGGATTTAACTGGTTCATCAACTTCAAATTCCATGGAGTGTTTACCAACTCTTTTCACACATTCTGTTCTAATGATAATTGGCTGACTGTGGAAGAAGTTTTATAAGTACTGAGGGTGACGAACCATTCTCTTCGATGTGCTTTTGACTAGCATTGTCCAATAGGACTTTCTGAGATGATGAAAAATATTCTATACCTGTGGCCCACATGTGGCTGTTCAGCACTTGGACCGTGACTAGCTCAACTGAGAAACTGAATATTTGATTTTGTTTTAATTAATTTATGTTTAAATTTAAATAATCACATGTGGATAGGATTGTGACGACTGTATCAGATAATATAGTTAGACCTTAGAACAGTGAACTTATGACCCTGAGCAATTCACATTTACACTTGTGGGCAGCCCTAACATTGGTTGCTCTGGATCATGTTCAAGGGTTTTCCTCAGTGGTTCTAAATTCGGGGGCAAAACTTCCCTACCAAAGATATAAGTGCAAATTTGTTGGATAGTTTTTTATTGTCACAACTGAAATGTCCTCCTGGCATTTAGTGGGTGGGGGCCAGAGATGCTTAATGGCCTGAAATGCATAGTACAGTCTGCACAATGAATTACCGTCCACCCTAAATGCCAGTAGCAACCAATCTGACAAATCCAAATAGGTCAGCAGAGTTCTCTAAATATTTCAAGTAAAGATTTCATTTGTGAGATCTCCTATCTCTAGTTAATTCTGTCTCCTATGATCTCTAACCTATTTCCTCCTGCCTCTTTAGGGATCTCACCTTCTTTTATCATGCTCATTTTATCCTGTGTCTTCAACCACTTCCTGTCTACATTAGAGCGTACTTTAATCTTTCCCATTTGCTCAAACAGGAAAGAGTAAATGCCCTTTCTTAATCCCATGTCCTCTCCTCATTCACAGCATCCTGTCCCCTGCCAATCTCAGAACTGCACATCTATTCATCAAGTTATTGGGGAAATTATTTTTTGTATCGTGATGGAAAGAAAGCTCACACCATATGTAGTTTCAAAACACACCATTTATTATATAGACATATCAATAGAGTCATCATACTATGTCCCACTTCTAAGCAGTTCATATTATATATATGTATGTGTAGAGACACACACACATATGTTGAAAATTTTTCAGGCAGAGTCCACTTTTATTGTTTTATACTTATAATTACTGCACCTTCCTGTAGCTAGTCTCTACAGCACACCACCACATTAGTTTCACATATTTTTTTCTAATTTAGTATCACATTACTTTTTCCCAAGTGTGGACTCATGCTAAAACTGTAATGTGGTCACTTAAAATATTCTAGTTCATAGTTCAATGTTTTATGAAAATTAAATTTTTAAGTACTTGAACAATGTCTTCCTAACTTCCCCTACTTATCTCAAAAAGAATCACTACATATCCCAAATAAATCACTCTAAATAACTGAGTCCTGAAACTACTGAGTTAAAATAATTACATTAAAGATACATCTATACTTGGTTAAATACACTGTAGACTACTGGAATAACTGTGATGATGGCATCTCTTCTTAACTCTATGTCTAAGCAGTGATATGCCTACTTTTGTCCTTTAATGGGTGATTTTATATAACATTTCAAAAGAAATTAAAACATCTTACCGATGTATTATAACTGTATTGTACAAACATGTCTACAAAGAAATGCCACCTAAAATTAGAGTCAGTGGTTATTCTTTCAGTACAAAACTACATCCTTGCATAAAATCAGGAGAACCATATACACACAAAATACCTGCATTATATAGTATAGATTTTCAGTGACAAAGATCATGCCTATTTATGGCATCAAATAAACAGAAGTGAAGTTGATTTATTATTTGAGGCTGCATTTGTGGGCCACTTCTGTAAATCTGCTGGCTAGTGAAGTTATTCATACGAGTTGGGAGACTTAAAAAACACCACCAGACAACCACAGTCCCGTCATTTCTTTTGAACATATACAACCAGATTTTTTATAAGCTGATTTAAATAGGGTAGGTGATGATCAAGTTGTTATAAAACTAAAAGACCTTCAGATTTCCATTAACTGGCATTATTTTCATTTTGTTAGCACAACTAAAACCTATATTTTGCTTCTAAATTATAACATGTTCTCATACTGGATATTAAAGGTGCTAATTTACCTATCGTTCAGTAAGTAACTCATAAAAAATGACCTGAAAACTGATTAGCTTTGCGGAATAATAAAAGTGTACAATACAATGAGTTATATATTTGAAAATATATACTTTCTTTATCTGTTGCCACAAGTTATATTCTCACAAATATTTTCAAAGACCAAGCTATTTTCTCGCCTGTATGTAGTGTCACAGATTACTATTTTAACATTCCGTTATGGAAGAGAGGGTTGAATTTAGCTGTGTAAATATAAGCCTATCTTTTAATTTCCTTCTACAGAGAACTCTTTCAGGTTCTTTGGATTTAGGCATTCTTAAAAAATGGTCTGTATTTTTCCATGTGAATTGTAAAACAAAACCAAAAAACCTAAATTAAATTCTAACAAAGCTAATTGTACCTGCATCTTTTGGGAATACATCATCTGTCCTTTTATATAATTTAATTGAGCTGTAAAGTGTTTGAAATATAAATAACATGAATAATTGCAAGTCATTCTGTCTATATTTATAAAAGTGAAAGTATCTGAATTAAAATTGTTATGCTTATAAATCAATATTAATAATTGTTCTTACATAAATATCATAATAGTAAAATGGCCAAATAATTAAGCAATCTATCTTGATACTCCACTATTCAGATCACTTAACTCCATAATATCAGCCACAATGATATTTACATACAGCAGACATAATAAAGAAATAAAACTGAAAAAATTTAGTAGAAATTAAATGTGACTTTGTGGGCATAGAAAAGCCTTGAACAATTGCTCTCCCATTTCTGTGGGAATAGAATCTTGACAATATCCCCACACCACCACAATTTCCTTTCTACTACTTATTTACATTCATGAATGCTATAAATATGTCCTATATATATTTTCTATATTTACAGTATATATACACACACATACACACACACATACTTTATTTTATTCTTAGGCTCATTCATGAACATGCCCATCAATTTACACAGTATAATCAAAACATATTCATTTATAACTTTTCACTCTGTGGAAAAATGCAAAAATATCATACAGATTAATATTGTCTCTCTAAAAAAACCTCTTTTTTATGTTTTAGGGTGTTTTTTTTTTTGTAATTTACAAATAAATTATGAAATATAGTTCATTCACAAATTGAAAATAATTACAATGATTTTATAACAAGGCATTGCTGAGGTTTTAAATTGTGGCATTCTTTGAAGCCATCGTCTTTCAGAACAAAGACATCAATAAATTATTATTTCTTGATATTTGCACTTTTTAATTACTTATATGAAATATGTCATTACAAATCTAACACTCATGCTAGTCAAATAGTGTTTGTGTAGAATATGAATCTTTCTATTTTATCTATTCCTTTTTTTTTTCTTCCTGAAAAGTCTTTTTTAGAACAATCTGGAAAGTTGGTTGAAATTACTGTACTAGAACATTTCTGGAAAGTTTTTCACCAGTAAAAAAAAAGCTGAAGAAGTAAAGTGAGGCAAAACTGAGGAAGAATAATTTTAGTAAGTACTCAGGAGAGATAACAGCAAATGCAAGAACTGTTTTAACTTATCTCCTAGTCCTTTGGTATTTCTTTGCCTCGTGAAAATCTTAAAAAATGTTCAGTTCTTTAAAATATTGATTATACTCTTCCATTAAATATCAGCTGTGGTCCTCCATTGCTCATGTTGTCTGTCATTTCCTGTTAGGAAAATAACATGAATTAATTAAAATTCACTTTCAGAGTAAGGCATTAATTTGATTAATGGGTTTACAAAACAGAAATTTCAAGCCATTGAAAAACTTGCTGACTTTTGGGGAAGGACAAGGATTAGTGCTGTTGCTGAATTTGAGGAAATGAAATTTCATGGAATTTTGGAACCCATGAAACACTGAAGTGACAGTCTGTTAGACCAAAGTCTTCTACCCACAGCAACAGTTCAATCTCTCCCCAGCCCCCTTAGTCTCCCCTCTCGGCCCTCAACTCTGTTTTGGAAAGACCTCACCTAGAAAGAAGATGGTTAAATACTTAACTTTTTCAATGTATAGGTTCCTCTGTTGAGCATGTCAACAAAATGCCAACAGATTCTAGGGGTTACCTTTGCTCTATAGAAAAATGTGTGGGCTTTTCGTGAAGAACTGAAAAATGTCCACCAGGGGATTGCCTATCTGTAACTGAAGATCACTAATAATTCATAGTAGGACAGATTGCTTTTCACAACACTTCACTCATACAGTAAAAAACAAACTGTAAAAGCTGAAACTAACACACCATTGTAAAGCAATTATACTCCAATAAAGATGTTAAAAAAAAAAAACCACACACAAAATAAATTTAAAAAATAAAAATTAGAAAAAAAGCTCTTAACATGTTTTTTAAGAGATCAATTACTAAGTAGTTAATAAGGAAAACTACATGGGAAGGCAACAGAAATTTCGATATCAAGAATGAACTTACATAAAAAGTTTCACTTGCAATTTTAGAAAATATGTTAATTTAAGAAAAATTCAGATGCTTTGAATTCATACGTTTTGTTAAACGTTAAACTCTTCCCTACACAATAAAAGGTAATGAGGACATGTGAGGCCCATTCACATTTATAATGGTTAGTGCACCATATTATAAATAATATTTAGGCAAAACTATCTAAAAATAGATGAAAACATCTTTCCCCACTTGAACAAGCCTATTTGCAAAAGAGCTGTAAAGAGAACTCCAATTGAAATAAATTATTTTCTCAATGATCTTAAGCCTATCAGGTATATCTACTTTCTGTTTGGGTGAATTAAAAGTAAAAAGTAATGTGTTTGCTTCTGTAAAGTTTAGAAATTCTTCCAAATCTTTATTTCAGAAATGAAAAGATATCACATGCCTCATTTTTAGTATCTTCTCTTTGAAAACTCAATATAGGAGATGGAGTAAAATACAGATGCTTACTTCTTGGATTTGGTGGTTTTGAAAGTTGCTTAGGAGAATCAGTGAGGGACTGGAAGGTAGGAATTGGTCTGATTTTGGAACTTTGCTTTTGAAAACTTTGGTGTCTTTTAGAACACGGGGTAGAGCTACCGTCAAGAAAATGCTGAGGAAGAAGACAATATGCAAAGAAGACTCTTCCTCTTCTCACATCAAGACCCATCTCTCCATGCCAAGTGCCTTGCCCCTTCCAGGCCATAAGGGTAGTGTTGTATGTGGGTATCCACTATGCCTACCCTAATAAGGTGCTGAGGAATTACCTAAGGCCTAAAATCTCATACCAGTTTAGGGTAAAAGCTCTGAGAAAAAGTGGAGAAGTTCTTTGGGCGCCAATAGCCAGCCTCTGAGGTCTGGCAATGGTTCACTATAACTGAGAGGCTGTCTCTGCTAGATATATACTGTGAAATTAGGTCCGATAATACATTGGGGTTATTCGGCTGAGGGTAAGTTTATTGATAAGATACCTGATTTGAGGTTCATTTAAAAACTCACTACTGGTGGCAAGAAAAATAGAAATGATCTCTCCAAAATGATCTTTAATAAAATTTACTCATCCATCTATTTCTATTCCTTCTAGTAGGACAAAAACAATTTTCTAAGGAATTTATAGAAGATTCATAGATGCCTTTACTTCTCCTAAAATAACTCTGCATTCAAAAAGTAGCTTAAAAATAATCATAAAAAATTAAGGTATAAACTTTTATTGTGGGATTAAGAAAAAAATCCAGTTTTTAAAAACCTTACCAAAAGAAAGAATTTTCTTAACTAAAGTCACCCTAATATGGACACAGAAAAATCACTGGTAGGAAAAAACAGTGAAAATTAGTTTTTAAGTGGTCAAGTATCTTCAGTTTATTTGCAGATAGGCATGTCCAATTTAGCAAAAGATTATACTTTAAATTTGGGCAGGACCAACTGTGACTGTTTGCAAGTGGATATACTTTCTGCAATTGGGCCATAATATCTGTGTGACTCCCTGTATTTCTTATTATATTTTTTAACCAAAGCAAGAATGGTGACTATTTATTTTCAGAAGTATAAAATATGGGAAATAAATTTGAAATGTATCATATCAGATAGGTTTATAAGAAGAAAGCTTTTATACAGAATTTTTACTGTATTAGTGTCAAACTTAAGTTATCTACTCATGCAGCTTTAGCATGAGAGCAATACAAAGTTTGCCTTTATCAGACACATGTATTATTAAAAACAAAACTCTGGTCTGTGAATGATGATATCGAGTCAGAATCATGATGTAGCAGAGAATAAAGGAGTCACAAATCATCCAAGCAGAAATGTGTTTGGATGCTCACAGGCAGGCTGAATATTTTAAATACTCAACCAACTTTCAAGCTGCAAGACTTTGCCATGTTGGTTTATATCAGGTCCTCAAAGTAGTTCTCACAAAAGCAATACTTTGAGGAACAATATCACAGCATCAGTCCAGACTGATCTGCTGACATCATGGCTTCCTAGAAGAGGCAGTGCTTCCTGCAGTGACATTACAACATGGTAACTCCCTAGAAATCAGCGTACCTTGTAGGTAACTCTGGTGTCGGGGGCACCACCGGGCAGCTGGGCAAGTCGGTTATTTCAATAGCCCTCAATCTCTAATATAAATATAACAATCATACAATAAATATTGCACAAGCATAGACACAGAAACCTAAATCACACTAATATAAAAATAGAGCACAAAACAGCCATTATCCAAATATATAATGATAACCTATTTTTAACAATCCATTTCTTTAAATTACCAGTCCTGCTATTTGGACTATTAATTCTTTTTTGAAGGATACATGTAGATCTGTTTAAAATTGCTTTCTGGGAACAATTTAAGAGCATCTACTCTCCTTATTTGAGTGTATAAATTGTATATGAAAGGGAAACACATGAACTACAGAATATTTTTTCTCAAAATCACATTATAAAGAAGTATGCAATTGTAACTCGTGCTACTCTTTCTCTATTCTGTTGTTACGCAATTTTATTTCCATGATATCAAGTAAAATGTGATGTGGCCATTATCTTAGTGAGTTTATTTTACAAATGTTTTATCTTTTCCTTAACAGATCCAGTAGCAGGAGCTGAATCAAGAAATATGGGCAAAATGTAGAAGAAACACAGACAGCTCACTATATCATTTGTCCTTTGATGCAATAAATGTAACTTCTTGTTTGAATGGGTATCATGAAACAATTATGCAAGGAACATTATTTAAAATACAGGCAAAGCTACCCAAATATGCATGAAGCTTAGATGAGAATTAAATGAAGCTTTATGTGTATTGTAATATCTGCACTGATAGGCAGGCTTTTTGTTGCCTTATTAAAAGGCCCCTTTATGCGTGAAAATCTAATTTACATAATCAAATGCATCTACTTACAAGCACAAGGGGTGAGTTAGAAAGGAGAAGCCATCGGATTTCTAAAACTGATATTATTGAGTTGAGAGTGTTTTTAGTTTATGTTTTTCCTAAGTACAATACGTTAAAAATCTATATTTATAAGACATTCAATATTTTATTAGTTCTATTTTAGGAGCTGTGTTTTTATATAGATAGAGAAAATTATGTCAAAAATAAGTGTGCCCAGAATTACAGGGAAAAAATAATTTTAAATTCCTATTCTTAGTCCAATAGGGCCAAATATTTATAAAATCCAATTCCTCAAATTCTCATCTAAAGCTGCAAGTTGATTCACCTAGATTTGACTGCAGTCTTCATGTGACAGCAATGAGAGGTAGAGGTACAAAACTCACTTTCTCAGCCATTTCATGAGAGTGATGCAGAGAATGCTCCCTCTCTGAGAACATCCTCCTCTGTTCATAGCTGGCTAGTCGACAAGTGAGCCACGAAGAGAGGGTGCAGCCCCCGATCCCAATGCACGCAAGAGACATGGACGCGAGATGCAGGGGATAGAGGGAAGAGGTCTTCTTTGTCACTGCCCGAAGGAACTGAAAATTCAAGATGCCCCCAATGAGTCCACAGATGCAGCAGGCAGAAAAGAGGATCATCTGATACGAAAAAGAGAGGGGGAGTTAAAGCTGACTGGAACACACTGCACCGACCTGCTGCACGTCAAGGATGGCTGAGTTACAATAAAGAGAAGGTGCTTTTGGTGCTTCTTAGAGGACAGGGGCTCTCTTTTCACCAAGATTCCCTGCACTCTGACTCAATGGAGAGGGAGTAGACCACAGTGTTTCAGGAATTAATAGTTGACTATATAAAGGCCAGGGATACATCTTATGAAAACTCTGAAGTAAGCAAAATTTATCTTCTAGGTAGATTCAGATTTAAATAATATTTAATATCTATTGTGTGCTACTATGCATTTCAATTAACCTACCAAGCTATCCTCTGAGAGGTGATATACATTTGGAAAATGAATGATGAGCAGTTAACACTCAAATTTAAGAATGAATCCAGATTTTTTGACTCAAATTACGGTTTCTCTGTTAATTCCCACCCCCGCCCCCCAATATTTAAATGTCTTCTCCCTGAAATGTCATTAGTTCCAATGAGCTTCAAACCTCCCCGTATTTCTCTAGCTGTGTGAGCTTAGGGAATTTAGTTAACTCCTTTTTATTTTCATTTATAAGAATTTTATTGTTTTAGTATCTATTTTCCCAAGAGATAGTTTAGGGACCCTCTATGAACTGGTGCTTTATGTTACAAATCTTTTGTTACTCTGTGACACCACACAATAGATAGTCCAAAATCACTGTTTGGTTGACTGCTATGGAGAAACGCAGGATGTAGCTTTGCTTTTGATCCTACTCTTCCCTTGATCTGGGTCTCTGTTAATAGAGCTAGGGTTTTTTTTTGTTTTTTTTTTTTTGAGCTAGGGGTTTTTATTCAACCTAAATATCATAGGATCTCTGGCAGAACCAAGCACAACACAATGCCTTTTGTGCAGTAAGTGTTTAATAAATTTAATTTAATATTCCAATAGCTTTAATAATTTTAGTCTGTATTTGTATCTAGTCTAAATTCTCCCATGAGCTTTGATGATACTTTATAGTGTGATACTAATTTAATTATTCAACCCTATTTCCATTTTTCTCTGGAACACTGTCTCTACTCTAATCACCTCCCTTGTCCCTCAGTATAGCTTGTTCATTCCAATTTCAATAATATTTTCATTTCCTGGAAATTATTTTGCTTCTTTCTTGGTTCCCTAGATGGAAGACTGACACAAATCTAGTCCTAACTTCCTCAGAAAGCATTCCTGGACTTGACTGATCTCCTTTGGCGTAAGTCCACAGGGCAAAACAGCTATATAACTTACTTTAGCATTTAATTTTACTTTATTAGGTATTATTTTCTGTTGACAGTTAGTTGACTTTAGCAAACACTTAATGAGCACCTAGCATCTGTTAGGCCATGAGTGAGGCAGCAGTTGTCATTACAAAAAAAAGAACAGCTCATAGTTATTCCCCTTGAGAACACCGCAGCCTTGTGTGAGAGAAGATCCAACGTTCCAACATATTATGGCAAATATTAAGAAAGAAGGATGAAAGGTAGCCCTTGGAGTACGGAGCAGGGGAATGTAGCCCAACCAGGGGTTTCAGATAAGGCCTCCTTGACAACAGTTCATCTAGGCTAAGTGCATGTAGTTCCCAGCAAAGGGTAAGGCCATGGATGTATGAAATAGAACAATGGGCAGAATGAACTACAGGTAGTTTGTTTTCTTTCTCTAACTTAATTCAGCATTCCTGATTGTGTCTGTCTTTCTGTACTTATCACCAAAACTGAAAACCCAGTGATGGATGAGTATAATCTTCTAATGGTTGATGAAATATAGCATTGAATGTCAATTACCAAATCAACGAATCACCCCAAGTGGGAAATTGTAGCTCCCAATGTCAAATAGAATCAATCAGTTATATTTCCTTCTAAAGTATATTCAAATGACATGCTGTTTCTTGGAAATATATTTTGGTGTTTACTCATTCCCAGAAAATATGGAAAGATATTACACTCTAGCCTTCAAATAATGAATTACTGTTAATTAATAAAATAAATAACAAATTTAATAGACTATTACAGGAAAACACTATCTCTCCTGATGTTATTGCCATTAATTCCTTAAAGGCATGACACTTCATTAACATGTGCAGACAGAACATTCTCACTCAGGAATTAAAACGTTAAAATCTGTACCAAGTTTATAACCATATACTATTGTTAAATCTTACCAGACTAGAGATTCTAGACTTTAGAGTTATTTGGAGTGGAGAAATTTTCACACAATTTGATTAAAGGGTAGAGAATCTTAGACAGTTAATGTCATCTATGGGAACCTCAGATGGTACAGGAGGATAAAGTGGATGGTAGTTTCTAAAAAGCTTAGATCTTATAATTTTTTTTTTATAACTTACAAGAGAATTAGGAAAACAGAAAAGACGCTAGTGGCCTTTAAAAAAATCCCTTCCCTTCCCTTCTTCTATGAACTGAATGTTTGTGTCCCTCCAAAATTCATATTTGAAGCCTAATCCCCAATATTATAGTATCTGGAAGCAGAACCTTTGGGAGATAATTAATTAGGTCATGAGAGTGGAGCCCTCATGAACGGGGTCCCTGTTTTTATAAGGGATTCTAGAGAGCCCGCTTCCCTCTTTTGCCACGTGAGAACACAGCCAGAGATTTGCAACCCAGAAGAGAGTCTTATTAGAATCCAACTATGCTGGCACTCTGATCTGGGACTTCCAGCCTCCGGAACTGTGAGAAATAAATTTCTGTTGTTTGTAAGCCACCCAGTCTATGGTACCTTGTTACAGCAGCCCAGACTGACTTAGATGTCTCCCCTCCCCGGCCCACCCCTCGCCCTTCCTCCTTTCTCCCTCTCCTCTCCCTCCCTTTTCATTACTTCCCCTCCCTCCCTCCCCCTTTCTTTCCTTCTTTTGTTCCTTCTCTCCTTTATTCCTTTCCTTTTCTTTCATCCATGTTCCAAGAAATTGTTACTATATGGCCATGAAGAGTTTTGCTAGAGGAAAAGCGTAGAAAGAAAGCAAACCATAGTAAAGAGTGATGGGAGAATCACAAATGCAAATTACAAGCCTCCAAAAAAACTTTTATCCAAAGGTTTCCCTTAATGTAATTTTTAAAAATTACATCTCACATATCTAAAGCAATGGGGGCTTCACCCTTTTTGTCGCAATAGGTATTCTCACAAAGAAAACTGTGATTAGAAAACGGAGTTGAACAAATGACTGCGATACTTCCCCTTCCCTGGTATCCTGGTCCCCTTCTCCTTTTTTCAGTCCTTTTTTCAGTGTACATGGACTTTCTAGGGTCCATGTACAATATATTTTGCCAACTTATAAAGGTCTGTGATATTTCCTATTGTCCTCAAAAAAATAAACATGCTTTTTCCTACTTTCTAACTCTCAAAAAATGTCATGAAAGATAGTAGGGAATCCACACTGCAGCACACAGAAATCCTCCTCCAGCCAATATCAGAGTGAACTGGGAGTGTATTCCACAACCCCCAAAACCCACAGCAGTACCATAAAACTTCTGAGAACGCTTACATTTGCATTCACAGTCATAAAATAAAATAAAATAAAAAAACTTTGGGAATTAACTACAACTATAACAACACAGCTGTTTTGCTGCTTTGCAAAATTAACTTCACAGTCAAGGCTAGTAATCTTTAGGCCCAGTTCCATATCTAAACAGTTAAATTTCCCATGAACTGTCTTTTTCAGCTCAATGAAGGATTCTTCTGAGTGTCTGGGAATCTATAAACGAAAAGTGGAGACTGCCATCACAGCGGTCATTAAGGGTTGCAGATTCATGTATTTAAAGAGTATATCAAAGCTTCTCCTTTCTTTTGTCATAGTCTATAATAATCTTGATGGTTTTCTTTGAAAAGAAAAAAGCCAGGATTTATTTGTCAGTCTTCTTTTTATCCTAAATGAGTAACGTTCAGGATATGAAAGCTGGCTAGTCATCATTTCCCTTTTTGAATTCTTACATTTCAAACACTTCAATGCACAATACAAACAAGGCAAAAACTTACGACAAGTCCAGATTTTTTTTTGGCGCACAATATTCCACATATGCCACAAAGAAGAAACTGAAAAGGAAAAGAATAACAATTATTTCATATCCAAAGATAAGAGAACTCCTAGTTTTTAGTTTACAGTTCACTCATGACACTTTCTCCAGGGAAACTTGAAAATTTTACATTCCCATCAAAAGCTGAAAAGGAAAATACCTGATTTTAGAATAGTAAGGGATAAAAATGCAAACTCTAATGAAAGTTTTGTGCAAAGTTGATATAGGTGATTGTGGAATTTAAGCACAACTTGAACCTGTTTTACCGCCAGGCAAAAGGATGAAGTAGATGAATTTAGAGTTTTGTTCCTCCTGTCTACTTTCACTGTCTTCTTATCCCTTCCTATTTTCTCGGGAGAAAACTGGTATGATACATTCTTTAGTATGGCTGTATGGTACATTCCTTCATACTAAGTAATTAGAAATCAATGGGCTCTGCTAGAGGAAGGGAATATAACACACAAAAAAAGAGAAGGCATCAGACAGGGAGGTGTTTTTTGTGTAGAGATATTCTTTGTACCTCTCAAACTGTGTCAGGTAAAATAGCTGCCTCCTCATTCTACCAGAAATGTCAGAAGAACACAACAGGATGAAGCTATCAGTGGTATGTAATTGCTTGTAAATAAGTACATTGGTGACATAATTGCTTTGCAAAAGCAGCTGCATGAAATCGTCTACCAGTTCCGCACTATTACACATTTTGGTTATCAGAAAGGGGTAAATTGTTTAATTTGGAGAGAAATGTTTAGGGCCATTTGTGCATATTTTTGCTGGAAGTAAACCATATAAGTAAAATAATAAACTCATTAATAAGGGCTTTCAGATTAGCAAAGAAAACTGAATATGGTTAAGCTTGTTTTCATTTGATTTTTCTTTTAAACGTTGCTATCTCAAGTCAGAACTAATAATATAAGTGGTTTTAACTGAGTATTTTACACATGAATAGATTTTAAAATATACACATCAAAATACTCTAAGGATTATCTGAAATAAGTAATATGCTTGTGGGAAGCACCAACAAAATTTGATTAAAAATAATAGGTAATAAAAATTCACCTTTGCAGGGAACTTTCCATACAGGGGAACAGAATGATTATAAAGCAAGCAATGATGCAGCAAGACAGATAAGGGACCACAAAGATATATAAGAATTTGGTATATAATATAGATGACCTTTCAAATTCATGGGGAAAAGATCAGAACTATTTATTTAATAAACGTAATTGGGACAATTTGTTAATCTTCATCATCTAACATCATACACCAAATGCTACAAAGCAGTTTGAACATTTAAATGTATAAAAAAAAATGTGGTAGGAGATGATAAAGTAAAAGATTTATATGATTTTAGAGAAGTGGGAAGAATTTTCTAAACATAGCAGCAAAGTCACAGACCAAAACGGAAAATACTTACAAATACTAACACATACAATTATAATTATGTTAGTAAAAAATACCATAACTCTCAAAGGCAAAAAATAAAATTGGGATTATATTCAGAAAGTATATAACAGACAAAGTGTTGACATACTATATAAATAGATCTAACAGAATAATTTTCATATCATAAAACCATGAGCAGATAGAAACTCAGAACTTTATAAAATGTAAATACATGCAGAATTTTCAGAAGCCTTAAAAAGCAACTTCTGAGTGACTACTTCTCACCCCTCTCTGTGTTCTAAGTCTAGATGATCTTGTCCTCATATGGACTCTTTCTTACTGATCCCATCTCAGACCTTTCAAGGTTATGCTCAAGTCATTCCAATTTGGACCAGTTCCGTGCCTCTCAGTGCTTCCAACCTCCAAATCAAAGATTCAGCATGTCTTACTCCTGCTTCCCTGACTAACCTGTTATTCACCCTGAAAGTCCATTCACCCAGAACTCATTCTTGAAATAATTTGAAAGCAGTGCAGTTTTGTGTTCCTTGGATCTTTTTGAAATCTATGAACATTGCCATTATTTATTCACAACAAAGCCCAAGGGGACCTCAGGACCATAAGCAGAGCTCTCCAAGCTAACTGTCCATTCACTTGGTTGGAAAAACTAAGTGCAATAAAATTGCTTCTTCCTATTGTACCTCTAAGAAATTTGGGGAGGGGGAAGGTAGAGTAGGAAGGGAATCCAACAATGTTTTTCCACTCTCTAGCAGGCCTGCAGTGTAAATATTTCTGTTGGGTATCCAAAATCCACACTCCTTAGAGAAAACTAACATGAGAAAAAACAGACCCATGTAATGGGAAGTATACAAAATTATGCAATTCTGAGGAGGCTTTAAGGGATCCTGGCTTGAGTTTAGTCATCACAGTTTACAGAAAAGAGTAAAAGAAGCACAAAAAAGCAGTAAATAATCTTTTATTTTATTGGCTAACTTTACCCCAAGTCAGAGCACCACAAGGGATCTTAAAAGATGGGAAATGAACAGTCCAGACAGGTTTAGTGACTTACTCAAGGTCACACATCAAGGTCACAGATCACACATAAAATCTCAGGCTTAAGTGTCTAAGTTAGTTTATTTCTAATAATGTAATGGGAATGCTTTTCAAAAGGATTTTTCAGTGTTAGTGCAGACTGCATTATGCTAGCAGATCCGGCCATAAGCATTCAATGACACCTCATCATCTATGATTGCACTCTTTACCCTTGCCATTTGTTAATTTTTGTTGTAATAAAAGTAATTATAAGATTAGTTGATTGTATCACAGTCTAAAATTAAGTGTACCTTACTATATAAGGAGTCTGTTATAGTATTTCAAGATACTATTTTTGTTCAACATCACTTTATCCAGGATGCAGAACACTGACCCACATTACAGAAATTATGAAACAAGTGAAAAACAAATTAGTTAAAAAAAAAAAGTAAAACTGATAGCTGGATATCTATATCTCTGTCTCTATCCTGAATTAGGTATACAATTTTACATGAGAAAATATAATTTTATGTCTGAGAAGGTAGGGAGAATTATTTGCTTAATTTTAATTTTAATCCAGGGAGAATTATTTGCTTTGCTCTTACTAGGAAGTTATATAAATGAAGCAATCTAATGATAGGGCATCAAGGGCAACTATGCAATAAAACTAGTTAAGTCCTCCAAGTGGAATTTGTGTGATTTCAATTTAGATTAAATTCAATAGATAACTAAGGCTGTGCCTCATTGTACAATGAAATGGAGCTGTTACGGACATAGCATTCTAGGCTGTGACTCATTGTAGAATGAAATGGAGCTGTTATGGACATAGCATTCTAAATTTTGAGTGGATTTTCTTAATGAAAGGTCCATGGAGCCTTCTGCTGTTGCTTAGGATGTAGAAAGGCTAAAGCAATACCACCTTAACAGTAAGAAAAAGTGAATAAACTACAGACTGATAACTTTTCTAGAAGTGAGCAGGGACAATGGAAAGCTGAGGGTGAGGCACTGACACTGAAAAAGTTCAGGTAACCACAGCCCTCCATTAATGGAATTTGAAGACTTGATGCACCAAAGATAATCATTGTTAACAGTAAAATCAATTCCTCACCAGGATGACTCCACCTTTCACACTAACAGCCTAAAAGAAGATATTAAGATAAAATACAAGATTTTGAAAGAAAAACTTGAATTTGTGCTGTACATGCAGCCAATCTCTCATTTACACAAGAGATTACAAAGAGATGTGCTCATTTGGGCAAAAGAACTGTGGTAGGCTGAATAATGGCTCCCAATATACACACATCCTAATCCCCAGAATCCATGAATGTTACCTTATATGGCAAAAAAGCCTCCTCAAGATGAGGAGATCATTGTGCTAAATGTAGGATCAGGTAGGTGCTGAATGTAATCATAGGTCCCTTAAGAGGAACACAAGAAGGTCAAAAGAAAGTTATATGAAGACACAGAGACAAAGATATTTGAAGAGGCTACACTGCTGGCTTTGAAGATGGGGGGAGAGAGCCATGAGGCAAACGATGTAGGTGGCCTCTGTAAACTGGAAAGGTAAGGAAATGGGATTCTCCCCTGGAGCCTCCATAAAGAATGCAGCCCTGCAGACCCATTTTAGACTTCTGCCTCCCAGCACTGTGACAGAATAAATTTCTGTTATTTTAAGCCACTAAGTTTATGGTAATTTGTTCTAGCAGCAATAGGAAACTAATACAGGCTTCAAAACATTATTTCACATGACAGTGTCTAAAAGAATTAGAAGCTGTTAAAAGAACTAGAGTTGTTCTTCAGGAAAACAAACAGGGGAAGACATGAGTTAAGAAAGAAATATAGTAAGTAGCAAGAGCACAAAATAAAGCAAAACAGGAAATATTTTAAATAGAAATGTATTGATTAGAAAAAATAATATCAGTTTAGAATGAATATCCCAGGTGATGTTGGCATGAGAGATGGTGGGTTAGAGTTAAAGAGCATGTAAGTAAAATGTTCTAAGATTCTTGTATCATTTGGCAGAGTACTGGAGGCACTAATGTGCCAGATATCAATAGAAAAGTAGAAGTTTAAATTTGTGCATTAAAATATCAAAGACCAGAAAAATAAAAGGAGAAAAAAATACAACAACGACAATAAAGATTGAACCAACAGATGTCAGGAAAGTTTGAAAAATGAATGGAAATAAAGTGAAACTATAAAATAAGTTGGTGTAAATAATTTCAGTAATGTAAAGCAATCAGAACATAGGTGAATGTATTCAATTTCTCTAATAATAGGGAGAATAGAGAGAGGGAGAGACACTCTGCTAAGTAAAGAGGAAAAGATTTGTTAAAACTTTCCTAAAATGAATGAAAACCTCTTTCCTTACTGGTTTTCCCTTTCCCTCTCTCTCACTGGTTTTCCCTTTCTCTCAATGTCTCTCTCTCTCCTTCTCCTTCAGCCCTGACCTAGATGCTAGTTAATGACTTCCTTATTACTATTTCTTTCTGTCCAAGAAGCTTATTTTGAGAAAGGACTAAGAGAAAAAAGGCTATTGTAGAATTTCTATTTAAATTATGTAATGGAAAATTTGGGAATCATGGTTGTAATGGAAGCAGATAAAAG